TATACATTTACTTTATTGTCTGAGTGACATTATATATTTACTTTATTGTCTGAGTGACATTATACTTTTACTTTATCGTCTGAGTGACATTATACATCTGAGTGATATCTTATCATCTGAGTGACAGTATACATCCGTGTGATCGTATAAATCTTCGTGAATCTAAGGATATTTAAGCTATCGTAACAACCGCAGCCATTGTGAATCTTTGTAAATATATTAACTTTGGTAATATATAGCGTTAACACACCTGAGTGATGCCAATTATAAGTCCAGGACTTAGGAAATAAACCAGTAGATTACTACGTACATTAAAAAGAAACAACGCTCGAACACCTCGTTTAACTGTAGTGATCTACCAAAATCGCACGTTAACAATATTAATAAAATTAAAAGAATTTCAAAATAAGTTTACTATTCTGAAATTTAAAGTTCAAAATTAAAATCTAAAAATAAAAGAAATATTATATTAATAATATTTCTATATTAAAAAAATTGAGAGTTTCTTTCAAAATTCACCTATTTATTCAATACTATAGCCAAAAGTTAAAACTTATAAAATAAAAATTATATTAGTTGTATTTCTTTATTAAAAATAAATAATTTTTCTAAAATTCAGTCAAAAGAAAGAAATATTATATTTATAATATTTTTTTAACAAATAAAAAAAATAGATTATTATTCTTTTTTATAAATCTTTAATTTTAAATTTAAGAGTTGAAGTTAACATCTGAATCTTTAAAAAAAAAAAGAAAATTTTACATTAATAACATTTTTTAACAAAAACAAAAAACAAAATAAGAATTCTAAATATAATCCTTCAATTCAAAATTTAAGAACTAAAATCTAATAATTAAAATCTAAAACTAAAGCTAAAATTAAACTAAAACATTCTATAAAAAATAAGAATATTATTTATGTAATATTTTTTTTTAATAAATAAAAAAATTTCTTTCTTTATGAACTTTAGTAAAATTTAAAGCTAAACTTATAAAAGAAAAAATGAGAAATTAAAAAATATTACAATTAAAATAATCATAAAAAAAATAATATTTTATACATTTCATATAAATTCACCATTTTAAAGTAAAGAAAATAAACTTATAAAAAAGAAATAAGAGAAAGTTAAAATTAAGATTGCTTATCTAAACTTATTTTAAATTTAGCAAAATGTTTAAATTATAATTTCTTTAATTTTTTACTAAGGTTTTGACATAGTTTTATATTTTTATAAGCTTTTATATAGTTTTATTTTTTCTAGAATTTCACAGATTTTTTAATAAAATTTTAATATAATTTCATTAAATTTTATCTTTTTTTTTATTTAGATGACTTGCAAAACTTCTAAGTTTTATTCAGAAACCTTAATTAAAATACATTCTATTAAAAAATATTATTTTATACATTTTGTTATATAAAACTTATCAATTTCAATATTCAATATTGAATGAAATTTGAAAACTTACAAGAAATAAAAAAAAATGTTAAAAAATGTTTCTTATTAAAATATAGGAGTTTGCTATTTATTACCGCCGGTGATGATTACCAGTATCATATGATCATAATTAGCTAATAGTAAATTAGTATTCGTATCCAATAATAAATTAATAAATTTTAAAATTTTCAATTACATTTATTTTGTATTTACGTAAAACTCGTAAAACTTTACAATATTTATATCCATTCTAAACCTCGCTAACTTTAAACAAACTAATATTTTGCACCTGCTAAACTAAAAATCTGTCAACCCAAAACCTACTAAATCTATCACGTTAGTTAAGTGTTCAGTTACTATTTTCTTTATCGACTGAGTCAGCTTTATGTTGCTTGCATCTTCTAATATTATGCCCTTTTTCTAGACAATAACTACAGGTTTTAGACGAAGTTATATGTTGAATGTTGTTCTTTTCTGTTGACAATTTATAATGCTTCAGAGGACGTCCTTTTGGCTTATGATATTCTGGGTTCGATATTTAGAGAACATTATAATTATTTTTTATGATAGCAGAGAAAGGTTCTTGAGTTTCATTATTCAACTATAATACATAATGAACCTCTTTTATATTCAAGCCTGTATTTCAACGATATTTAATAATAAATTCTGTAAGAAGTCCAGTTAGTTCTGATATAATACCCTCTGCCACAGCTATCTGAACACTAGTTTTTGCTACTAACATCAAAGTACTGAATTTGAGCTTTTTGTTGAAATTTTCTCTAACATCTGATGTGTAAATGTTAGCAGTCCTCATTTGATTAATGTATAGTAATGGATTGGTGGTATAAGCTTTAGTTTCTTGAGTAAACGTAATATAATTATTTGTTTCAGATAGCACTGATTCATACTAACGCATATAAATAAAGCTTATATGAAAAATAGCTTTGTTAGACTGAAGAATTTGATACTGATGTCAACATAACATCCCTTAGTTAATAATGTATATATATATACAAAGTAATGTCATATCCTTAAGGATCACTACATAATGCAGTTTTGATTTTAAAGATAATTGACCTTCCATATTTCTTGAATTTCTTTGTGATCGATACTTAACAAAAGTTCTTGTAATCTAATTTATGGTCTATTATATATATGTTCTACTATACTATTGGATTCATCATCAGATTCGTTAACTTATTCAATAGAAATCAAAGTTCCTTGATATAATAATGCTTGTTTCATTTGGCCTTTCTGAAGTGATAATGGGATGGGTACTAAAAAATCTTTTAAAACAGAATCGATGTTTTTGAAAATAGTATTATAAGTCGATGAAAGACCAGTTGATAGATTTAATCCATAATAATCTCTGATTCGACTATATTACGCTTCTTTATTTAACTCATTTTCTATTACTTCTACTAATTTCCTTAATAGAGTTCCTCGATCCATATGTTTTTTAAGAACTCCATTTAGAGATTCAATACGTTGAGTTGATTCTACTCCCGCTGTAAAAACCTTCACAATAGAACATTTCGTCCATGATTCACGACAAGGATAAAGATTTTTTCAAGGTAAGACTGACATTGCTCATATTTTGTAAGCATTCATTGTATCTTGCTTCAAACTGACGCTGATTATAACTATTTTGCATATGGTAAAAATTCTCAATAAAATTCTTGACCATTTCACCATGCAATTTGGATTTGGCTTTCTTTTTCACATTCTTGACAATATAGTATATACATAACAAATGGTGAGTTTTCAGATAAACAACTTGAATAGCTGCTATCATTTCTGAATCACTATTGGTAAATAATATGATTGGTGGAAGGTTATCAGTTGCTTCTAGTATACATCGTAAAATCTAACTATAATCTGCCTGTGTTTCATACTTTGTTAAGACTTGAGCGAGGACTCTTGTCTTATAATTATTGTTAATACCAATAAACAAGCTAAGCGTCATTTCATAACGATTTATTTTTACTGTGTTATTATGTATGATAACATCACGAAATTTAGGTTAAAGTTCATTACGCTGTTAGCTGGTCATCCAGAAAAGTCCGGTAAGTTCATTGGATAATCCTTTTAAATGCGATATAACAATATAATCAGGATCTTGATCACGTAGCTTCATAAGATATGAGAACATCATAGTTGCATCAGATTTATCATAAATCTGAACACCCCAAAACTTTTGAATAGCATTATATAGGTTCTTTTTTTTAATAAGGTATTCAGGAAACTCTTTGATAATCAAGTCATATTGTTGCCTAGCATCCAAATGACCATTAGTGGTATAATGTTCAATCTTATCCAAAATCATTTTAGGAAGGCGTGAATTTTTAGGAGCTAAATCTATTATTACTAGATCACATCAATGATTATGGTTATTATCGAACTTGGTGAGACGTATGATATTAGTGTTTTTACCAAAATAAAAGCCTACTTGCCATGGACAGTTTGTTTTAGTCAAAACATTATCACGATGTAAATTAATATCCTCTATCTTTCTTGGATTATTAGTTCTAGCTTTCCAACAGTTATATACACGACGGCAAATAATAGTTTTATCTATAACATCAAGATCCTTACGATATTTTATAGCAACAAATCCTTTTTGCTTTGCATACATATTAACAGCAATGTCGACCACGTTCTAATCTTCATAAGTATTATTGACATTTAAGGTCATTTCTGTTGTATTAATACTATCAATCTCATTTATATTATTTTCTTCATTATTAGGTAACCTATTGATTTCACTTGTTATATCTAAAAGCACTCCAACTTGCATTTTTTTATTTGTAGGTTAAGATAATAGTTGATTACAATGATTTGATATTGAGAAGATTTTTAATATTGAAATGAAGTTAGAAATATAAGGAAAATTTGAGAAACAAGGAAAGTATTCGTTTAATAAATCCTTCAAGTTGGTTTAAACTGCAATATAATCTAATATCAATTTCTTTAACAAAGAAAACAATTATGATGGTTAGAAGAAAAAGAGCAATCGTGGATAAAAAATTGAATGTTTGACTTGTTTTAGCGTATAAATGATTAAATCAGTAATAGTGAAGAATCACAATGCAAAACATTATGTCAATCGAGAAATCAAGAAATATTATATCACGTGATGTGACGTGACGTAAAGATAGTTAAAATAATTACATCACGTGACATGACGTGAATTGGTCAAAATAAGATATATCACGTGATACAACGTAAATACAAATAAAATGTAATCACGTGATGCTGGTGATGATCACCACCAGTAATATGAAGTAATTTTCATACAAATTAATACAAAATCAGTTTTATAATTCAATACTATAATATATTATCAAGTTAAATATTATTATTACTATTATAATTCATAAATTATTTTAAACCAACTTGCTTTTTACTATTAAAATTATGTAGCATTACTTGACTTCGTAAAGAACAAATTTCCATAAGATTTTTTAATTCAACAGCAAATCTATCAGGTGGATTAATCAAAAAACTTAAAATATTATTTAAAGCTAATAATGCTATCATAGAAGAAATAGGTTGAATAGATACTATTTCTTCATTTTTTTCATTATTATTTTGTGTAGGCTGTACTGATTGTATAATATCTTCATCAGTTAAAGTTTCAAGAATAATATTATCGTCTATAATAGCAAATTCTTGTGCAACTATTGGATCTTTAAATGGAGTTCTTAAAAAACATATGGATTGAGGAACTCTATTAAGGGAATTAGTAGAAGTAATAGAAAATGAGTTAGATAAAGAAGCGTAATATAGTCAAATCAGAGATTATTATAGATTAAACCCATCAACTGGTCTTCCATCGACTTATAATACTATTTTCAAAGACATCGATTCTGTTTTAAAAGATTTTTTAGCACCCATCCTATTATCACTTCAGAGAGGCAAAATGAAACAAGCATTATTATATCAAGGAACTTTGATTTCTATTGAACAAGTTAATGAATCTGATAATGAATCCAATAGTATAGTAGAACATATATATGATAGACCACAAATTAGATTACAAGAACTTTTGTTAAGCATCGATCACAAAGAAATTCAAGAAATATGGGAGGTCAATTATATTGTGGTATCTTCAAAATCAAAACTGCATTATGTAGTGATCCTTAAGGATATGACATTACTTTATACATGTATGTACATTATTAACCAAGGGATGCCGTGTCGACATCAGTATTGAATTCTTCTTTAGTCTAACAAAGCCATTTTTCATATGAGCTTTATTCATACGCATTGGTTTAAATCAGTGCCACCTGAAACAAATAATTATATTACGATCGCTTAAGAAACTAAAGCTTATACCACCAATCCATTACTATACATTAATCAAATGAGGACTGCTAACATTTACACATCAGATGTTAAAGAAAATTTCAACAAAAAGCTCAAATTCGGTACTTTGATATCAGTAGCAAAGACTAGTGTTCAGATAGCTGTGTCAGAGGATGTTACATCAGAACTAACTGGATTTCTTACAGAATTTATTATTAAATATCGTCAAAATACAGGCTTGAATATAGAAAAGGTTCATTATGTATCACAGTTGAATAATGAAACTTAAGAACCTTCCTCTGCTACCATAACAGATAATTATAATATTCTCCAAATATCAAACCCAGAATATCATAAGCCAAAAGGACGTCCTCTGAAGCATTATAAATCATCAACAGAAAAGAACAACATTCAACATATAACTTCGTCTAAAACCTGTAGTTATTGTCTAAAAAAAGGGCATAATATTAGAGGATGCAAGCAACATAAAGCTGACTCAGCCGATAAAGAAAATAGTAACTAAATACTTAGTTGACATGATAGATCTAGTAGGTTTTGGGTTGGCGGGTTTTTAGTTTAGCAGGTGCAAAATATTAGTTGGTTTAAAGTTAGTGAGGTTTAGAACAGATATAAATATTCGAGTTTTACGTAAATACAAAATAAATGTAATTGAAAATTTTAAAATTCATTGATTTATTATTAGATATGAATACTAATTTACTATTGGCTAATTATGATCACGTGATATCGGTTAGCATCACCGGCAGTGATAAATAGCAAACTCCAATTTGTATATATCGATTTATATATTTTTTTTTATTATATCATTAAATAAAGATAATTTGATATAATGATATTTTAGCATACTGATATTTTTTAGATAAAACAAAAACATCATTATATCTAGCTTTGACTGTACATAGTTCTTATAGATTAGATGGTTTAAACAATAGTTACATAGATAGATCTAGTGTAGAAATTAGTTTAGATAATTTAAAAAAAGAATTTGTGACTACAGTCACATCTTGATATAATGAAGTTGCTAATCCAGCCGATCAGGACTTTGTTATAAGAACCTTCATTAACGCTATAACGAATTATATGGTATGTATAACGAATAATTCGTTAGAGCGTTAACAAATTATTTGTTATAGTAGATGATTACTGATTTCATTACACAAATATAATTTTACTATTTCCAGAAATATTT